CCATTGAAGACAGTTGGCAGTTTTTCAGAGACATTATCACAAGATCAAACTATCCCACTGTGGAGGAAAGATTGGAAACCTGGCCAGAGACCACCCTGGTGTAACCAGGAGACCTTCAATGGTCTGAAACTCAATAAAGAGTCCTACAAAAAGTGGAAACTCGGTCCAATGACAAAGGATGAATATGAACAAATAACACAAGTCTGTAAGGACAAAATTAGAAAGGCCAAGGCCCCAAACGAGATCAAACTTGCTAGGGACATAAAAGGAAACAAGAAAACATTCTGCAAATACATTCAAAGCAAGAGGAAGACCAATGACAGAGCAGGGCCGTTACTCAACGAGGGGGGAAAGACAAAAACAGAAAATGGCAGAGCTGCTGCATGACGTCTTTGTTTCGATTTTCACCCAGAAGGTTGGTGGCGAGTGGACGTCTCACATAGCGACTGCCAGTGAGAATGAGGTAGGATCAGAGGCTAAAATAGGGAAAGAACAAGTTAAAAATGACTTAGACGAGTTCGATGTCCTCAAATCCCCAGGGCCTGATGAAACACGTCCGAGAACGCTCAGGGAGCTGACTGAGGAGACAGCTGAGCCGGGCGTGATGATCTTGGGACAGTCCTGGAAGACGGGAGACATTCCAGAGACAGGAATCGGGCAAATAGAGGGCTCGTCTACATCGGCACTTTACAGCCCTGCAACTTCCTCGCTGAGGGGTGTGAAAAAACACCCCCCCCCTGAGTGCAGCAAGTCTCCGTCATGCGGGAAGGACGTGCCGAGTGGGGTCCCGCAGGGATCAGTTCTGGGTCTGGTTCTGTCAATGTCTTCATCAGTGGTTTCGACCATGGCAGCGAGAGCACGCTTATAGAGTCTGCGGACGATACCCAGCTGGGAGGTTGCAAGCGCTTTGGAGGAGAGGATGAAAATCCAAAATGAGCTGGACAAACCGGAGACTTGGTCTGATGTAAATAGGATGAAATTCAATGAGGACAAATGCAAAGTCCGCCACTGAGGAAGGAACAATCAGCTGCACACACAGAATGGGAAATGGCGGCTCAGGAAGGAGTCCTGCGGAAAGGGATCCGGGGGTCAGAGTGGACCACAAGCTAAATACGAGTCAACAGGGTAACACTGTTGCAAAAAAAAGCGAACGTCCTTCTGGGCTGGATTCGCAGGTGCGTTGAAAGCAAGACACGAGCAGTCATTCTTCCGCGCTGCTCCACCCTGATTAGGCCTCAACTGGAGGGTTGTGTCCAGTTCTGGGCGCCACATTTAATTTAGCCAACTTTAATTTTTGTGAGAATAACGAGGAGTCCTTGCGACCCCTTAGAGATGAGCACGTTTATTTTTGTGATGATTTTAAAACCTGAGTTGTATTTAATAAAATCGTCGTGAAACATTTTTCAGTTTTTATGATGGTGCCATACAGCCCCCCTTCGCCCTCACGGTCTCAGCCTTCGGCGGCCCCCCCCATTTCAATTCCCAGGGAAAACACTGGTCAGAGCAGAGCCCCGAGGACGATTTGAGGGTTCGAAATCCGCAGAGCGAGCGACCCCGGGAGCTCCAGCTATTGCGCTGAGCCCAGAGCAGACTCCGGGCTCCCCGTCTCTCCGTCCCGATGCAGGGAGCAGATTGGCTCAGGGCCGGTCAGTTGAGCAGAGGAAGCGGGGACATGAGCCAGCAGCTGGGGGCTGAAGCTGGATAAATTCACCCTGGGAATAAGCGTCGGTATTAACCAGGGCGGGGAATGAACCGTGGGGATGAGATTCTCCATCTGGGCAGTTTTAACTCCCGCAGGGCTGCGTCTCACAGCCCTGCTCTGGCTCCTGCAGGGACCAGGTTGGGGCAGGTGTCACGGAGTCCCCGGGCGATGCTCTGGACCTGCTCCCCATGAAGCCAGGCAGGACTCTGGGGAAGTCTCCTTTCTGGGAGCAGCCTGTCTGCAGGACACACAGCTCGCCCGGCTTCCACCTTCCTGGGTCTGACCTCGGAGCATTCAGCATCCTCTGCCCCTCCCTGCGCTTCCCACAGCGAGTCCGCCCAGGCGGGGTCCTGGGGAAGCCAGAGGGTCCTGCCCCCCAACTCCGCAGTCAGACGTGACTCTCAGCCAGCCACTAAAACAGAGGTTTATTAGACGACAGGGACATGGTCTAAAACAGAGTTTGCAGGTGCAGAGAACAGGACCCCTCAGCTGGGTCCATTTTGGGGGGCAGTGAGCCAGACAACCACGTCTGCACTTCACTCCATGTCCTAGCCAGCCCCAAAATGAAACTCCTTCCAGCCCCTCCTCCTCTGGGCTTTGTTCGTTTCCCCGGGCCAGGAGGTCACCTGACTCTTTTGTTCTCCAACCCTTTAGCTCTCACTTTGCAGGGGGGAAGGGCCAGGCCATCAGTTGCCAGGAAACGGGGTGTCAGCCATCCTCTGTGTCCAGACCCCTGCACACACCTGCCCTCTAGGGCTCTGCAATGATCATACACCCTTATCCCACCCCCTAGATACTTAAGAACTGCATAGGGGAAACTGAGGCACCCCCACACTATTCAGAGGAAACATTAAGAACAGTCCCACTTCATCACACTCCCCATGAAGCCAGTCAGGACTCTGGGGAAGTCTCCTCTCGGGGAGCAGCCTGTCTGCAGGACACACAGCTCACCCGGCTTCCACCTTCCTGGGTCTGACCTCGGAGCATTCAGCCTCCTCTGCCCCTCCCTGTGCTTCCCACAGCGAGTCCGCCCAGGCGGGGTCCTGGGGGGGCCAGAGGGTCCTGCCCCCCAACTCCGCAGTCAGACGGGACTCTCAGCCAGCCAGTAAAACAGAAGGTTTATTAGACGACAGGGACATGGTCTAACACAGAGCTTGCAGGTGCAGAGAACGGGACCCCTCAGCTGGGTCCATTTTGGGGGCAGTGAGCCAGACAACCCCGTCTGCACTTCACTCCATGTCCCAGCCAGCCCCAAACTGAAACTCCCTCCAGCCCCCCCCCTGGGCTTTGTCCCTTTCCCGGGCCAGGAGGTCACCGGATCCCTTTGTTCTCCAACCGTTTAGCTCTCACCTTGCAGGGGGGGAAGGGCCCAGGCCATCAGTGGCCAGGAAACAGGGTGTCGGCCATTCTCTGTGTCCAGACCCCTGCACACACCTGCCCTCTAGGGCTCTGCAATGACCATACACCCTTATCCCTCCACCTAGATACTTAAGAACTGCCTAGGGGAAACTGAGGCCCCCCCACACTATTCAGGGGAAACATTAAGAACAGTCCCACTTCGTTACAGCAGGTCAGAGGAGATCAGACGCCATGTAACAGGATGTGGGTTTCGCGAGGCAGGCAGACCGAAAGCTTGTGACAGGAGGTGGTTTTCGCGAGGCAAGCTGGGCTGCAGGACACCCGGGTGCTCACCCCAGCTCCGCTGCGGGCTGCCCGCAGGCCTCGGAGCCCGTCACGGCCCTGCTGCAGGGCTCAGTTTTGCCATCTGTCAAATGGGCAGAACGATCCTTGTAGAGTGTAGGGCCTTCGGTGGAGGTGGCTGTATCCGAGCTGCCCCGCCCCCCAGTCCATATAAAGCCACGTGCCCCCCCCCAGCGCCCTGGGTTGTTGTTTATTGCTGGGCTGACAGAGGCTGGTTGCTTAACGGCACCTTTCCCAAAGAGGGCTGATGCAAGCAGGGAACCGGAACCACCCCGTCCCCGGGGGTGTTTCAACAGCCCCTGGGTCTTGGCAAAGCCCCGGGGTCCCGTACGGCTGCTTTCCGGCCCCATGTGTGTAACTGTCAGGTTCAAAAACACTGACACAAACAAAGAGCCACCATCCAGCCCAGAGATCGACCCCACGTATGCAGCCACGTCTGGGGTGGGGCACCACGGGGGCTGTTTATATGAAGCAGTCAAGGCAAGGCAGTGATGGGGTGGGGCATCGGGGGGAAGGTCGGGGCAGGATGAGCTTGTCGGGGGATTAGGGGCAGTGTGGGGTGAGGGTCACAGGGACTTGGGGGGGAGCAGGAAATGGGCCTGGTGTTAGAGGAGGGCTGGCGGGAGGGAAGGGAAATCAGGGGAGTGGTTGGTTTCGGGGGACAGGGACTCAGAGGAGGGGGCTGGGGCCCAGACTGGCTCTGGGAGGGGAGTGGAGTCTAGTGGTTACAGCAGGTGAGGGCCGGGAGCCAGGACTCCTGGGTTCTGTCCCCAGCTCTGGGGGGCAGGTCTGGGACACAGAGCAGGGCTCACCCCCAGCAGGGGGACAGACACCGTCCAAACTCCCCCCACTCGCAGCCTGCGTGGCCAGCGGACCTACAGCACGACACAGATGCCTGAATGTACAACCACACACCCCACGCCTCAGCAGCCACACACAAAGCCACACCCCCCAATTCCCTGGGAAGAGCATCACACACACAGTCGTACCTGCCCCGGCAAAAATATACAACAAAAACAACCAGAGAAGCAAACACAACTCGTAAATGCCACCCCCACCCCCGCCCAGCCACAGTTACACCCAAACCCACAGAGAAACACGCCACAATCGCCAACACACAGCGCCCCAGGCACTATCCATCCACACTCACAACCTCTAACAAACACTTCTAACCGCCCCCCCAAAGCCACACTCACAACAGAACCTGAGCACACACAATGCAACGTAGTCCAACAAAGCCACAAACACACCAAAAACATCACATAAGCTGCAAACACAATGCACTCAAATATCCAGTGCCACAAACATGCAAAACAAGGCAACCACAAGAGGTCCCATGGTGTGTGTGGGTGTGTAGGGGGGACGACTGTGCAGGTGTGATTGTGAGGTGGTGGTGGGGTGTCACACAAACACACACGCCCCCATGTTCTCGCTTCCCTGTAGCCCAGGGGAATCCAGGCGCCCCCCAAATCACCCCATGGGGCCTCCCCCACTCTGCTCCTGGAGCCAACCTCCCTTTCCCTACCCGCCTCCCCCAACACAGACCCGCCCCCACACAGGAACTGCAGGCAGCTCCCCCTGCTGGGCAGGGCAGGAATTACAATAAAATAAAGTTTATTAATGAAATAACAAAAGCACCATAAATTAGAATAAAATAACCATCATCATAATAATAAAACAGGGTCACAGCCTGTCAGCTGCCAGCAGAGGGGTGAGGGGCTGGGGAGGGACCCCAGCGGATGGACTGAGTCGGACAGGCCTTAGCCTAATGGGAAAATAAATTATGAACCTTCAAATCCATGGAGGTATCCCAGGGGAACAGGGGTGGCTCACGCAGCGTGTGCGTGGGGAGAACAGATTCATTGGACTGCCAGCCCACCCTGCTCGAACCACGAGATCCCCCCTCCCCTCCCCGAGCTGGGGAGAGGACCCAGGAGTCCTGGCTCCCAGCTGCCCCGCTCTCGGTCTCCCCGCGGGGCATCAGGAGCTGCGGGGCAGCAGGACGAGCAGGGCCAGGAGGGCAGCGCCGTAGAGCAGGGCTGGCTGGGCCCCGAGCCTGCGGCCGGCCCGGCTCCTCCTGGCCGGGGGGAGGGCGCCCGCCTGGATCCGGCTGTTGCAGAAGTTGCCCTGGCAGCAGCGGGCCTGCACCCCGGCCAGGCGCTTGTAGATGGAGGTGTAGGGGGCATCGCACCAGGCCGGGGTGGCACAGCCCTTCAGCATGGCGCCCGGCCCCCTCAGCGCTGGGGAGGGAGGGCAGGAGAGTGAGACGGAGCCCGGAGCCGGCCCCCAAGCCCCCACCCAGACCCCCTGGAGCGAGATGCCCCCTGCCCTGTGCCCCTGCTGAGCCCCCCAGCCCTCCCATGGCCTGGCGTCCCCGGCTGAGCCCCTCTCCCAGCCTGGTGCCCACTGTCCCCAGCCCTGCACCCCCACCGCATAGTGCCCCCGACGAGCCCCCAGCCCCTGCCCCCCGCTGAGTCCCCCACCCTCCCCCAGCCTGGTGGCCCCTCCCCTGCACTCCTCTCCCCCCACAGAACCATGGCCCCTGCCCCACCCCCCGCAGCACGGCGCCCCCAGCTGGCTCTGCAGCTACTCACCATGGCTCCCCACAGCCTCCATGCAGTGGGTCATGGGCCCCTGGCACTGCAACCGGGTGATGTTTTCTGGGGTGCAGCCATGGCTGGAGTTCCCTTCGCAGGCAAAGCAGGTGACTCCGTTCAGGGGCAGGGGGGATTCCTGGTAATCTGAACCCGGGTCAGAATGGATCACTGGGCAGCCCGAAAACCAGCTGGTGCCCCTCACTCGTGACCCGCAGCCCCCTGCCAGCCCAGCCCTGGGCTCCCTCCCCCAGCTCTGCCGGTGCCCCTCACTCCTGACCCGCAGCCCCCTCCCAGCCCAGCCCTGGGCTCCCTCCCCCAGCTCTGCCGGTGCCCCTCACTCCCGACCCGCAGCCCCCTGGTTACCGTGGGCATCATTATTGCACAGGCTGGAGTTGCAGCATTGCAGCAGGTAGAAGCTGTCCTGGTTGTGGAAGCCCAGGGGCTCCTGGCACCGAGAGATCTGCCCGCAGCCTTTGATGCGCCGCTCGTCCTGGGGAAACTCTGGGGACAGAGAGAGCAGGGGTGACGTGGGGCCTGTCCCCTCTAGGGGGCGCTGGCTCCCATCCGGCCCCAGGCTGGGGACTGGCTGGCTCAGGGGGGCCAGGAATGGGACGTGGGGCCTGTCCCCTCTAGGGGGCGCTGGCTCCCATCCGGCCCCAGGCTGGGGACTGGCTGGCTTAGGGGGGCCAGGAATGGGACGTGGGGCCTGTCCCCTCTAGGGGGCGCTGGCTCCCATCCGGCCCCAGGCTGGGGACTGGCTGGCTTAGGGGGGCCAGGAATGGGACGTGGGGCCTGTCCCCTCTAGGGGGCGCTGGCCCCCATCCAGCCCCAGCCTGGGGGGCTAGCTGGCTCAGGGGGTCTCCAGCAAAGAGGCAGAGGCCCATCAGGTGCTGGGGCCTGGGCCCCCTATGTGGGGCGGGGAGGGGGTCTCGGGACGGGTCCCTGCTCACCATCGGGCATGGAGATGGCTGTGATGTCCACGCACTGCTCCCGGGGGTCCAGGCACCGGATCCGCATCAAGGAGGGGCTGGAGCAGGAGTGGTCGGAGGAGGAGCAGGAGAGGCAATCCAGGCTGGCGTTGGAGGGGAAGGAGCTCAGGGCTGTGGGGGGGAGAGAGGCGGGGTGAGCAGGGGACAACGGGACCCCCCGGGGGAGGGCGAACAGACTGGAGGGGAAGGACCCCGCCGGCTCCATGGACTGACCCTTGGGCACCCCCTGGTTGCAGAGGTCGGTAGCGCAGTGCTCTTCCGCCAGCATCACAATCTGCCCGTGGGAGACGAAGGAGATGGAGTTGTTGGGTTTCCCCTGCACGTCGCAGCCCTTCTGGATCCGATCGGAGACCCCGGAGCCTGGGGGGTGGAGGAGAGAGTCAGAGCCATTGGCAGGGCTGGCTCGGGGGAGCCCGGGGCTGGGCTAGCCGGGGGCTGTGGGTCGGGAGTGAGGGGCACCAGCAGGGCTGGGTCAGGGGAGCCCAGGGCTGGGCTGGGAGGGGGCTGCGGGTCGGGAGTGAGGGGCACCAGCAGGGCTGGGTCAGGGGAGCCCAGGGCTGGGCTAGCCGGGGGTTAGCTGGTCACTGGGGGGCACTCACGGGAGATCATGGTGAGGGCAGTTGTGCGACACTGTCCCTGCTGCTCCCCACAGTCCTCCATCTCCTGGCAGCTCCGGTCCCCATCACAAGAATAACATCGCAGGGCAGCCGCTGGGCGGAGAGACGTGGAGGAATCGGAACAGAACCCAGAAGTCCCAGCCCCCCAGATCTAACCACTAGACTGCACTCCCCCCCCCCCAGAGCCAGGGAGAGAACCCAGGAGTCCGGGCTCCCAGATCTAACCACTAGACCGCACTCCCCTCCCAGAGGGAGGGAGAGAACCCAGGAGTCCGGGCTCCCAGCCCCCCAGATCTAACCACTAGACTGCACTCCCCTCCCAGAGCCACGGAGAGAACCCAGGAGTCCTGCCCCCCCCGCTCTAACCACATCCAGTCCCCAGCTGATGGTGAATCAGAGCTAAGGGGAAATGAGCGGACTGAGTTCACCTCTTCCTCCCCCTGAGAGGGGGCCCTGAACTCTGGTGAGGATCTGCTCCCCCAGGGGACTCCTGGCCCTTCCTCGGGGGAGGGGACCCCCCCAGCTCACAGCCCTCTCCTAGGGCGGGGCTCAGCCCCCCTGCCGAGCCCCCACCTGGCCAGGGAAGTGTCCTGCCCCTCCCCCACTGGGTTCTCTTCTCCCTCCCCCTTCGGGATCTGACTCAGGGCTAAGAGCCGGGACAAAACCACCGAGCGGCTCCCCGCGTCCGCGCCCACCTGGCCGCCAGCTCGCATCCTGCCCTGCCGCCCCACTGCTGGGGCGGGGGGGGGGGCAAATCCTGCAGCCACAGCTGCACCTCGGAGCTGGGGAGAGAACCCTGGCGTCCGAGCAACCTCCCCCCCCGCCGCTCTAATCACTAGACCCCACGGCCCTCCCAGAGCCGGGGAGAGAACCCAGGAGTCCTGGCTCCCAGCCCCCCAGATCTAACCACTAGACCCAACGTCCCTCCCAGAGCCAGGGAGAGAACCCAGGCATCCGAGCACCCCCCCCCGCTCTAACCACTAGACCCCACGGCCCTCCCAGAGCCAGGGAGAGAACCCAGGCATCCGAGCACCCCCCCCCCCGATCTAACCACTAGACCCCACGGCCCTCCCAGAGCCGGGGAGAGAACCCAGGCATCCGAGCACCCCCCACGCTCTAACCACTAGACCCCACGGCCCTCCCAGAGCCAGGGAGAGAACCCAGGCATCCGAGCACCCCCACCCCAATCAAACCCCTAAACCCCACTCCCTCCCAGAGCCAGGGAGAGAACCCAGGCATCCGAGCACCGCCCCCCCGCTCTAACCACTAGACCCCACGGCCCTCCCAGAGCGGGGGAGAGAACCCAGGCGTCCGGGCTCCAGTACCTTGGCTCAGCAGCGCCCCCAGCAGGATGCAGCCCCACACAGACTCCATGGCTTCGGAGCTCGAACCTGCGACCCCGGCGCCGTCGCCCCGTCCTGCCTCTGGCTGATGTGTGCTGCCGTCCCCCGCCGGGGCCGCCTTAAGAACCTCCCCCCCCACACCTCGTCCACGCCTGGGACACACCCCTTCCCCCCCCTCCCTCCGGCTGCGGGGCTGGGCCCGGGATCTCAGGAGTGGGGCGGGGGCTCTTCGGGGAGGTGGGCTAGAGCCGGGGGGGGGGTAATCTGGGGGATAAACATCGGGGGTGCTGGGGGTCCCCACTGGGAGGGGCTGGGGGGTTACCTCGTGGGGGCTCTTAGGGGAGATGGGTAGGCGGTATCTGGGGGAGAAACAGCAGGGGGTCCTGGGGGGGTCCCCCTGGGGCGGGGGGTCTGGTTGGGTTGTTCCCTTGGGGGGCTCCCAGAGGGAGGCGGGGTAGTTAGAGCATCGGCAGGAAATGGGTTGGGGGGGAACAGCTGGGGGGGTCTGCCTGGGGAGGGACAGCTGGGGGTTACCCTGTGGGGGCTGCCACAGGGTTTGGGGGAGGGGGGTGGATGGTCCTGTGTGGGGCAGTGACCCTGCGTCATGTCGCCCCCTTGTGGCCAATGCCAGTGGAGGATAACAGCTCTTCTACTGGGGCTTTCTGAGGGCCCGCGAGGAGCCAGATGGCCGGGGCTTTCCAGCCCTGCTCCCGCCCCTGGGGCCAGGCCGCCATGGAAGGAGGGTGTGTGTCCCCCCCCAGAACATGGCTCTGGCCCAGCTGGGGCGCCCCACGGGCTTTTATGGGGTGCAGAATCCTGGGGTGATGCCCTGTTACAGCACCAGAATAGGAGTGGTTAGAATGAGGGGACTGGGTGCCAGGACGCCTGGGTTCTCTCCCCAGCTCTGTGAGGGAAATGGGGTCTAGTGGTTGGGGGGGGGAGCCGGGGAGCCAGGACGCCTGGGTTCTCACCCCAGCTCTGCGAGGGAAGTGGGGTCTAGTGGTTGGGGGGGGAGCCGGGGAGCCAGGACGCCTGGGTTCTCTCCCCAGCTCTGGGAGCAGAGTGGAGACTTTCTCTGGCCTGTTGTATCAGGCCAGGCTGGAAGGTCACAAGATACCTTCTGGCCTTGGAATGTGTGTGTTTCGGTGTGTGTCCGTGTGGTTGTGGCGTGTGTGTGACACATGCCCCCGTTTACAGAAATCCCCAGCTCGCTTGCGAAATGGAGCTGATTTGAGCAGAACATGGATGGAAGAAATGCAGCGCCAGGCCCAGATGCCCCCCCGCCTGCTGGGGTGGAGCGAGAGATTGTCAAGATCACACACACACATCCTGGTTGTCGCACACACAAATGCCCCCGTGCCCCCCCCCAACCAACTTGTTTTATCAAGCAAAAAAATCGGGTTCGTGTCCAGCAGAACCCGGGAACAGGAATTAGACAAAAAACCCACAAACCACTTCCCACTCCTGAGCTGGACAAAACTAGCCCCGGTCCTGCCCCCCCCCGATTTCACCCCTTCCCATCCCCCCACAACTTCCAAGCCCCCAGCCCCACTTCCCCTCCCCCACAGCCCCTTGCCCACTCCCACCAGCCCTACTGCCCAATCCCCAGCACCCCTTCCCATCCCCCCACAGCTGCCCACCCCAATTCCACTTGCCCCCTGCCCCCCAGACACAGCCCTGCTTCCCACCCCTCCGCCTCCCCACCGGGACCCTCTCCAGGGGTGGTTGGTTGCTTGTCACTTGCCCAATGTGGCTGGGGGTTTAATGACCAGCCAAGGACGGGACTTTAGCCTCTGGCCTGGCTGCCCCATTGCCCTGCCCCATGGTCCTGGCTCACTGGGGACCAGTCCTCTGGCCGGGGGAACATGTGTGGGGAGCTGCTCCCCGGCCTCCTGCCCACACACTGAAATTGGGGTCCCATCCTTACAGGTGCTGCCGGGACACATGGTGAAAGCGGACCCCACACCCAGGAGCTCCCAGCCTAAACAGACACCACATTGTACAGCTGGAGAAACTGAGGCAGGGGCATACTGCCCTTTGCTCCCGGTCACAGGGGGAGTTTGTGGCAGAGCTGGGACAAGGATCCAGGTGTCCTGCAGCCCAGTCTGGGGCCCTGCCCAGAAGCGAGTCCCATCAGCCCCCCAGTTGCCACACAGGCCCCCGGGGAGCCAGGACCAGATTTGGGAAGCAAAGGGGAGGGGAGAACTGCCCCAACTGTCCTGCCCCATTCCACACCCTAGGGCACCAGGCCCGTGTGCCTCACCGTGACGTGGGTCTAATAGGAAAGGAGAAGGAAGCGCCCAGGATGGGTTGAGGTAAGCGATGGGTCAGCCAGTGACCTCATAACGCATCTATTCTGGGAGAGAAGAGGAGTCTAGTGGCTAGAGCAGGGGCGGGCTGGGAACCAGGATGCCTGGGTTCTATCCCTGGCGAGGGGAGGGGAAGGGAGTGGAGTGGGGTCTAGTGGTTAGAGCAGGGGGGCTGGGAGCCAGGACTTCTGGGGTCAATCCCAGCTCTGGGAGGGGAGGGGGGTCTTTAGAGTGGGGGTGGGGCTAGGAGTCAGGACTCCTGGGTTCTCTCTCTGGCCCTGGAAGGGGAGTGGGGCCTAGTGGTTAGAGCAGGGGGCTGGCAGCCAGGACTCCTGAGATCTAACCCAGCTCTGGGAGGGGAGGGGGGGTCTAATGGGTAGAGTGGGGGTGGGGCTGGGAGTCAGGACTCTTGGGTTCTCCTCCCACAGGGCTGATGTCTCACCTGCAAGAGGCCCCTCCCCTCCCCGAAACCCAGGTCAGACTGAGTCACTGGGAATTCCTGACGTGCCATCTGCCCCCCCCCCCGCTCACCCCCCACTGTGGCGTTGCACACGTGCTGCCCCACCCTGGGAACCCAGCCCCCCCCCATCCAGGTGGTGTCCCAGGGACAGGGTCAGGGTCCTTTTTTGGCTTCCACGGGGGCTCCTTCCACTGTCCCCCAGCATCTTCCCTCCTGTGCCCCCTAATATCCCTGCCCCACTGAGTCTCTGCCTAGCAGTGCCAGCCCCCCAGGAGCCCTCTCCCCACAGGCTCTGTGCCTGCTGCCCCCCCACAGTCTCAGACAGTTGCTATGGCCCTCTCCCATCCCCTGAGCAGCCCCCCATAGCGTGCCCCCAGCTCCCCCCGCCCTGCAGCCTGCCAGCCGGCAGGGTCAGGCCCTGCCTGGTGGGGTGCACGGAGGGGCACAGGTGACGAGCCATGGCCGTGCCCCATGGCAGGCTGGGGTGGGGGTGGTTTCTCCCGGCCTCTCCCCGGAACCCTCCTGGCCCCGGCCCAGCCCCGACGACTCACATCCCGGCTCCATGTGCCCAGCTATAGGGATCCAGTGAGGGTGTGTGGGGGCTGGGGGGGCAGGACTCCTGGGCTCTCTCCCCAGCTCTGGGAGGGGAGTGGGGTCTAGTGAGTCAAAGCGGGGATTGGCTGGGGGCCAGGACTCCTGGGTTCCCTCATCAGCCCCCACTTCTGCCTTTCCAGGAACCCTTCAGCCATCCCTCCCACAAGGCCGCTTGTGGGGGCCGACTCTTGCCAAAAGAGGCGAGGAGAGGGCTGAAGCAACCAGCCAGCCTGGGTGTGGGTGTGTCCATCCAGGGTCTCATGGGAACCCCCAAACCACCCAACCCCCAAAACTCAGCCAGGGCCACTAATCTAGTCACTGAGCTGCCATGGCCCCTACTAGGGGCAGAGTCTGAAAGCGCAGGGGGCTCGGCCCAGGGCCGGGGACCCCTCGCTAGCATCAGTGGAGCTGGGGGGGGCCCAAGGGGGACCGCAGGGCGGAGGAAAGGGGGGATGGGGGGGAATGTCTCCGAGGAGGGGGGTGGTAGGGACGGACCCTCCCTCGCCCCATCCCAGGCTCTGTCAGTCGAAGGCAGCGGACGCGTAGGAAGGAAAGGTCTTTATTGGGCGCCCTGCAGGCAGGGGGCGCCGCGGGGGCAAAGCAGAGGGGAGCCGAGCCAGACCGCGCCGGGCTCCGGTCCTGTCCCCCTGCCAAAGGACACAGCAATAAATTAAGCATCAACTCGGAGGGGGGATCATTGAACTGGCTGGGGCGATGCTGGGGGAGAGGGGGTGGTGGGTAATCCACCCCCCCCCCAGGGCAGTAACTGGCCCCATCGGCAGCCAACCAGCTGAGGGGTGAGACCACGCCACCCCCTTTCCCCTGCAACATGGGGCACTAAGGGGAAGGGGGCAAACGGGAGAGACCCCCTCCCTCCATCCCCAGGGGCTGTTGTCTGATAGGGTAAAGTTCCTCTTGAATAAATATTTAAGCCCTAGGAGACTTCACAGATAGCAAAATAAACTCGTGTGTGTGTGTGTGTCTGGACACGCTGCCTACCTTGTGTGTACTTGTGTTTGTGTGTCCGCCAGGTGCATGTGTTTGGATAGTGTGTGTGTGTACGGGTGTGGGGGGGTGTACGTTTGTATGTTGTCTGCCCCTGTGGCCCTATGGATGTGCGGTCTGGCAGTGCTGTGTTGTGTTGTGTAGCACCCCCTCTTCCAATCCAGGCCTTTAACAGGCATAAAAAAAAAAACCCTCCAGCATCTCAAGGGTTAATGGAGCTATCACAGGGCTGTCTAGAGCTGGGGACAATCTGTACATATCTACCTATAGAGTGGGTAGGGCCCCTCGGAGCAGCAGCCACCACGGCGCTCCCAGCCCCCTGTTCTAGGAGGGAAATCTCCCTCTGCCACTAGCAATATGGGGTCTATGACACACAGGGGGGAGCACTTTCGATTCCAGCCAGCAGGGGGCAGTAGTGTCACTTTCACAGACGCACCCTCAGGCAAGCGCAAAAGGACTCAGGCGGCCTGCTCCGGTACGGGCCAGGGCTTTCCTTCCGCTCGCCTGCAGGCTCTGGATGCTATGGTGGCACATGGGTGGAACTGACGCCAGGACGCCAGGGTTCTCTCCCTGGTTCTGGGCAGGGAGTGGCAGGGTCTAGTGGGTTAGAGCAGGGGGGCTGGGAGCCCGGACTCCTGGGTTCCCCGCAGGGCTCAGTGCAGCAGTACCGCGAGCAGGAGCGTGAGGCTGACGAGGCCAAGGTTGCTGCCGAGGCCAGAGGCTCCGCTGGGGTAGGGTGGGCGCGGCTTCCCCGGGGTGTTGGTGTACAGCCCACCGCTGCTGTTCTTCACAAGCCCCTCCACCGGGTCCAGCCCCGGGGCGCTGGCGTTGCCCAGGGGACCGCGCGGGGAGTTGTTGGGCGTTTCCACGGTGATGGGGAAGGAGATGGTTGGCCTGTCCCGGTCGCCCTCGGTGCGCTCCAACGAGCCCTCCGGCTTGCTGACCGTCGCTGGGGCGCTGGGAGGGGCGGCGTGCCCGGCCTGCGCCGGCATGTCGTGGGAGGACAGGCCGTGGTCGACCAGAGCCACTCCCGGGCGCTTGGTGCAGAGGGTCTTGTTCTTCCCCCGGTGGGACCCGGCGCTGGCTCCTCCGGGAGCCAGGACGGTGCTGGTGGGGCTGGCTGCAGGGGCGCTGGGCTGGCTGGAACCTCCCTCCTTGTCCTCAGAGAAGACGCTCTCATTCTGCCTGGTGGCGAGATAGGGGATGCGGGCTACGGCGTCGATCCGGTTGCCGGGGGAGCCGGGAGTCGGGCTGTCGGTGCTGCGGGCCTCACCAGAGGCCGCGGCTGAGCTGTCAGGGGCCCAGGTGGTGCTGCCCTCGGCCACGAAGCTCTCTCTGGCTGACCCGGTGCGACTTTCAGTGCCGGAGCTGTCTGCGGCAAAGAGAGATGGTGAACTGGTGGCGCCGTGGCCAGCTCCTTCGGCAACGACCCCGTCGCCGGGGCTCACCGTGGTGCTGCCGGCACCGGACGGTGAATCGGCAGAGCTGTGGCCATCTCTTTCGGCAACGAAGACCCTGGCACCGAGACCTGTGGTGGCTCTGATGAGGGATGATGCCTCGGTAGGGCCGTCACCGTGGTCCAGCCGCGGGGACTCGGTGCTGCTGGCGGAGGCCGAGGCCTCACCGGTAATGTGGTCCCGGGCAGAGTAATTGGTTTCTTCCTCGCACTCCTCTTCCTCCTCCTCTGCGTGGGCCAGGCCGGCGCCCGCTGGAATCTCCCGGGTGTTCTCCGGTGTCTCGGTGACGCCGGGCTCCGAGCGGCTGCTCCCCTCCAGGACAACGGCAGCGGGGACGCCTGTAGCCACGGGATCAGGGGGAGGGACGCCCGTCGGCCGCGGGGCATTGCTCTCGGAAAAGACCCCTCCCGCGCTGAAGGCGGTGTCCCGGTCTTCGGCAGACGCGGTCCCGTGGCTGCCTGTCGCCACGTGGTCGGGGTGCGGGGTGGCACCCGGTCCGCCTGTCGGCACCACAGCGTGGTCCCCGGCGGCAAAGGCCCCTCCCTCCTCCAAGCCCCGCCCTTCAGAACTCTTGGTGGTCTCCGCCTCCCGGTCGCCGTGGCTCCCTGCCAACGGAGGGTGGCCCCCAGCAACGGGGA